TGAGAAATTGCGTGATAAGAGATAAATGTGGTATGCAAGATGATGTTGTGACCAGGATTAAGAAAGGAATGCTTCGGTGGTTTGGTCATGTAGAAAGAATGAATGAGGAAAGAGTGACAAAGCAAATTTATATGGCAGATGTGAACGGCCGAGTCGGGAAGGGACGCCCTAGAAAAAAGTTTATCGACCAAATTGGCGATATTTTGAAAAGGGGCCACGTTAGAAGTACCCTTAACCGACTAGCATGTATGCGTAGATATATGGATCTAAAGGAGGCGAAAGAGGTATGTCAGGATCGTGCCAAATAGAAGTCCGTAGTCTCTGCCTACCCCTCTGGGTGACAGGCGTGAGTGTTTATGTATTATGTATTATGTAAACATTTTCATGAATAAATTAATATTAATCACAACATTAAAACACAAATAAATAAATATTAACTATTGTGTATTGTGTATATTGTGTATTGGACATACACTATAGATTATTTAAATTTAGTATCTTTATCTGCTGGTCTTGTTTGATCAGGCCCAGAAATGACATATTCACTTTGTGGCATTTCATGCCGTAGAAGCGTGTATGCTTATTGGACATTTATTATTCTTATAACTCGTAATTATTATTAATCGCAATCAATATGAAACGATAGTATTTACTTTCAATTAACGTAATACATTTTTTTAAATTAATCTAACGACTGGATTAGAGCGAGTACTATAGTACGCGCTTATGGACGCCCCAGAAGTTTGTTGTCTGCCTGGGTGATAGAATCATAATATATATCTGCCATGAAAATTATGTGTCAAATAATATTATCAACAATATATGTAAATTGCAGCTTTGTTAAAAGAACGTAAATTATTAATAAAAAATTGTACTTGTCAAGCTGTGTGTCATGACTCTATCATGACTCTATCAAGAGCCGTGAACCCCAGACCTTCGTTGTTTTATAAAAGCAGAAAGTTTGTCAGCGCATGCTCCCAACACAGGTTAGAACGATGGACCAGTATGAAGTTTGGGTTACAGTGGCTTTGGCAGGTAAGCGGTACTAAACAGTCTCAGATATAACTACTTCAATTTATTTTACATTTTTGTAAATACTTTTAATCCCATTAACTTTTTTACATTTTTACAGAAACTGACGCAGAAGAAGAAGACCACGATATCGAATGGAGTAACAGTGACGAAGAAAATGATAACATTGGTGTTGATAATGATTATGAATGAAATGATACTGTTTTTTATAATCTATAATAATATGTAATGTCATCAATCTATTTTCTTATCCTTTTTAACTTGTAGCATCATTAAACTATTTTTAATCAAATTTTTGAGAAATATTTTATTCGGCTTTTTCTAAACCAGTTATTGACAGAATAAATTAAAAATTTTAACAATTTAAGGTAACTGTAGCATCAAGTGTCTTTTCTTAAGATGTTTTTAAAATTTACATAGATTATCAGTTGTATAAATCTGCGCCAAAAGGTTTATCTGCATGTCATTCTAATCACGAATCTCTTCTTAAGATTTACAATGTTTGTCTGGCAAGGGGTTGGAACTATCAAAAATGTCTGGTTAATGAGAAAACATTATCTAATTATTACCCAAGTATTATATATAAAAATCAGCTATTACACTTTAACGTAAGTGATAATATAATTAATTAAAGATTAATAAATTAATAATACTTGAGGATAGCATACATTATTGTTTTAGTTGATGTAAGCATGTATTATAGTCAACCAAATCTAAGAAGTACCTTTTGACGTTTCACATTAATCATTCGGCAATAACTTTGCACAAGCGTACTCACAAGATTTAAAATAACCTTTTACGTAAATCCGAAGAATTATGAAGTTATCTATATTTCATTACAAAGTGTATAAATTTTTTATCACTAATTTAAATTTGAATCTTTCAAACAAAGCAAAATATTAAAAAAATAACCAGTATCAAATTTTTACTTGACGTAGTGTCAATGATATGTCGCTATGTACCTTACCGTAGTGTTTGGTTGAATAAAATTCATAGTTATACGAATAATCGACAGATATATACAAATAATCGAAACATTAATTTTTTAATGTATTATTTGTATTTAAATTTTTATTTTTAAAATTCCTTAAATTACATGAGTCGTGAATAAAACAATTTCATTTTTTTTTTTACTTTGTAAACGTAAATCTGTGTAGGCAAAATAACTTACAAGACCGCGTTAAAAAAAAACAATACGTAATTTCAATCTCCAGCCATTTTGGGATCACACTGTGCGTAATTTTGTGATTTTGCGTTTGTTTTCTTATTTTGTGACTCGGCTTTAACTTTTTGGACTGTTTCTTCTACATTCGTTGAAGCATATGCCCATGCCAAAAGGGATGATTGGGTAAAAGTGGTAGAAAAAACAAAAAAAATATTATGGAAGACTTTGAAAGAGACATTAATTTTGACTGCATTATTTAACATCAAATAAGAATTAATCTAATCAACGACAGTTCATATAGCACTAGTTGAACTGAAAGTGATTGAATAAATTTATTTTTAATTTACTCGTAGTTTCAATATTAAATTTTTTAACTTTGCCTCTAGAAATAAGCGGTACTTAACAAAAAATATGAAGAAACTGACAAGTCTTGTGTTTTAAATTATCTGTTTCTAATTTATTCTGTTATTATTCAAACCAAACTGTAAATGATTACCAACTCTAAATAATCAATATCGATTTTTTAAGAATCGAATATTGTACGCTCTCATTCTTTACACTATATAACTAAAAACACTAAGTAAAGTCTTTTTCAGCAAAATATTTTACCTACATTCGGTTGTTTTGTAATGGAACATCTGCATATTTTAGTCTATGATTGTATATGGCGTGGCATTTAAATTAAAAAAAAATATTTTTTTTCTCTTGTGATATTACGATATCATTCAAGTAAATCATTTTACTTACTTCACTACTGAATTGATATTTACATCCAAGTCCAAACTTTGACTTGAATTTTCGTGCGGGATTATTGGGTGATGAATATCGAAGCGACACTAAATGACACTAAAGTAAGGTGTACGGATTGCAGTACAGTTCAGTTGACATAGTGAGTGTTCGGGGTGCGAAATGTAGTAGTATATCTTAAATGTCTTTGTTTTTGCTTTAGAAGTCCGGTTTATGAAAGAACAAAAAATTATTCTAGACGATATATTTTACAGAAGAAAAAAGTCAAAAACTACAACTTCATATGTTGCTGTTTCTCCATTGTTAAATTTTATAGAATATTTATGCGGCCTCTAAAGCTTTATTAAGCGGCCTTAAATCTTACAAATGCCTCAAAGCACTGCAAGTCTAAAACGAATTTGGAGATTTAAAAACGCAAGCAAATAATAATAAAAAGGACTACTGAGAATAAGGCAATAGTAAAAAAAAGGGCCTATAAATATGAACTGATTTTTTTTGAAACCCGTCAGAGAAATGTAAACGTCATTTTGTTTGTGTATAAACATATCCAAGATCTTAAAGCTTGTTTAAATTGAACTTATTCTATCGTGTAATTAGGCATAATGGTTAACCAACAGAGATCTCGTTTCCTTGGAACGAATGAAATAGTTTCCAATTTCAGTGTCTACTTGCAACCTACCACTTTGTATAATACCGTTTTGTAGAGTAGGCTTTATAGTATTTGTTGATTTCTTTAATAAAGAAGGGATACTAAATACTTAGAATATTTTTCAAGCTTTTCTTAAGTGTGCACTGCATTTATGTTATTTTCAACCTATCCTGTGATTAAGGCTAATGCCAACAGATAATTTTCACAATTGAAATTAGTAAAAACTTATGTAAGAAATTTTATGGGACAGGATAGGTTACACAACTTAGCTATTCTATCCATCGAATATTGCATGCTGAACAGAATGCCCGAAAAATGGAATATTAATAATAAAAATTACAACAATTTTTATTTTATACAACAATTTTTATTTCAGTCGAGTCATTATCATCATCACCATTACAACCCTTCACAAGTCCACTGCTGAACAAAGGCTCTTCCCCCAAGGAATACCAATAAACACTGTCCTGAGCCACCTGCATCCACCGACTTCCTGCATGTCTTACCAGGTCGTCACTCCATCTAGTGGGGGGTTGCCCTACATTTCGTCTACCGGTACGAGATTGCCACACGAGAACCTTTCTTACCCATCGGTTGTCGGTTCTTCGCGATATATAGCCTGCTCATTGCCACTTCAGCTAAGATTCTCGAGTGGCAGCCTCATACGGTTAAGCGAGGTGTGGCCGGCCCACCCACTAGATAGAGTAACGACCTAAGATAAGTGGTACAAGAAACCGATGGATGCAAGTGGTTCCAGACCGTAATTTGTGACATTCCTTGGTCTGCGTTCTGCAGTGGACTTGCGATGGGCTGCAATAATGATGATGATAGACATTATTGGATAGACCTAATAAATAGATTTCCTGCTTAGAGTTTAAAAAATTATTTCCATAAGTTTTCTTTCTTTTATTTTAACGTAATTTTTAATAATGTCCTTCAGACCGAATTTCTGTCACGGCTCACGGCGGACAGTTGAACGGAGACTAGCCTTCTGTGCAGTACAGGATTATAGTGCATAAGTGTACGAGCAAACACAGATGCATTCTCAATTCCTTCACTCTCATAGTCCGGTGGGAACGGAATGTATTTCGTATCAACCGCGAGAGATCAGGCGCAGGACCTACAGTGCACGTGCTTTTCGAATCACGGGGGTTAAACTGCCTGTGTGAAATATTGCAAACTTTCTAGCTCTATCTGCTACCTAGAATAAGTTAATGGAATTTTCTATCAAGAGCACAGAAAGTAAAAAAGCGTATTAAATACTGCTTTATTAGTACTGCAGAATTTGCAGGAAATGTTTACCCTGGTGATAGACTTAGTAGCTGTAACCAAAATTTACTTTTGACTAGTTCATTTACGTAGTTAACATTCAAAAATCTACAAATTGATCTGAGGCAAAAAACTTACATTCTTATCCGGCTCCGGCAGTGTAGTGCAATTGACTTCATCGCTCCCATCATCACAATCGGTGTAGTTGTTGCACACCCACACATCGGGGATGCAACGCTTCTTATCCACACACATGTACTGGTGGGTCTGATTGCAGAGCTGCTCGTCGGGGAGGTGGTCCGCTGAGTGAAGGACATGGTGGTTACTTACTTTAAATAAACCTAAGAATCCCGCGAATCGTGATCCTTTGTATAATATGAAAATGACAGATAAGCCAAAAATCTGTCCGTGTCCACAGTGAACACTACATTGCATGGACATGTTCGTTTCAGTGCAAATAAGACTCCATGGTGTTTCACCTTTAGGCAGTGTATAAGTAGGGCTATGGGGACTATATAGTTTTTGCAAACATCAGCACATAGCACCTCTCCCAAGGGGCAACTACCGCACCAGCAGTAGCCGCCCTTGGTAGAGGGCAACTTCTCTCTCGATTTCTCCAGCAGAGCACTGTCGAGAATCTACCCTGTCGAAGGCTCAAGATGCACTGCTGTGCTCTGGTCTAAAGGTATCAGTATAAGAGGACCAGTATAAATAATAACAGGCGACGAGGCATTCTACCGTAGTCCTCAGGTGACTATGCATCTGTAGCCTTCGTTTAAGTGTTCATGTGCTGCAGCAGCCACTTACCATTAGGTGGACTGTGAAATAGTTAGTTTCACTTCAGTTTTATAAAAAAAAACATATTGGTCCTCAGATGTGACAAAGGCATACTGCAGCCTTCCTTGCCCGAAGTCGGTTGCAGGTGTCTATAGTAGGCTGTAAGTTCGTTTGTCATTTCAAATTCAAAAAAAAAAAACTACCACTCTACTTTTGACTTTTGACGCTGCATGGAGGGTGATGTCCTTACGCCGCCAACACACGGTATTCTTGATAACTCATACAAATTGTAACAATTTGTGGAAATAATAAAAATGTTGAAATATCATTTACTTTACCTCAAAGATTTGACTATTTTATTTGCCCAATATTTTGACAATTATAAACACGAACTTCGTTTTTATTTATTTTAAGGGTAGAACAACTTTTAACTGTAGTACCCTTTTGATTGGTCTCAGGAAAGAAATAATATTACCAGCTCTAGCTAACAACTAGAATATCATCAAAACAGTTTCATTCAAATCTTCAACTCTTATTTTTCTACCTTAAGAGATGATTTTTTTATATTTATAATACCACTGAAGTATAAAATATTTAATTTTAAAAAAATGGTTGACCCTGCAATTCCATCCCTGGAACTTCCTGCTAATTTCAAATGCAAAGCAGTCCTAATTTCAACAAATTATGTTGCAAAATCTCGAAGTTATGGTAAAATAACGGTTTTTTTTCCTTCAAATTCTTTCTCCTTCGATATCTCGCGAACGAATGTATAGAGTTTTATTTTCCAAACAGCATTTGACGTCATTTTTTGAGATTAAGAGCCGATTAGTTTTTAAAATCGATCAGTAAAGCCGTTTAAAAGTTATTAAAAAAAAACAGTTTTTCAAAATTATTATTTTTGAGGTTTTTCAAAATCTACTCAGTATATAATCAGTTCATATTATCATCAAATCTATTCCACATTGAGATCTTTAGAACGCCGCAAACCGCATCTCAATCAATCAATACGTTCAAAAGTTATGAAAAGTTTACATACTTACACACACATACACACATACATACATACATCCGTACGGACGTCCACGTGAAATTAGTCAGAATAGCTTCCTGAGATCTCAAAACGTTTCAAAGCGATTTTCGAAAATCGGGGTGAAACCAATAGCTTTCCTATTTTTGAAAATTTTCAATTTTCCTTAGCGGGAAGTTAGAAAAAAAGAATTATACAAAGTTATTTTTCAATGAGTAGCTAAATTTAAAACATAAATTCAAAAATTTAAATAATAACAAACCGTTATTGCAGTTTTTGAAAATACGAGAAAATAGGGCTTGTACTTTTATATGGAACTATCCCAAATTGAATGTGAATTATGGGCAACAACGTTTTTGCCTGCCAATAGACCCTCACGAGTGTGTGTGTGTGCGCAGTAAAGTTAATTAAAATAATGCATTAGCACGTTTTAAATTTAAGAGATAAAAAGGACAGAATCTTTGAGATTATTTTTAAATATTTTTTCTTCATCATTTGCCTTTATTACTTATTCTGAACCTTCTCTACAAATTAAGCCGGTTTTTGTAAAATTACCCTTATCAATTAGGTTCAGCCGTTTCCGAGAAAACGGCTACACGTCTAATATTTTTTTTTATAAAATAAGGGTAACAAACGAGCACACGGTCCACCTGCTTTAAGTGGATGCTGTGGCTCAGACATCTTACATCTAACTTCCATAAACAATAAAAATGCACATGCGTTTTCACCTCCGAGGACTGTGATGGAAAGCCTAGTTTCCATTAAAGCGGTCTCATTTAACTGTATTTCTACGATGGTATTCTGTGAGATGGTGGTCCATCCTAGGTCGAGCCGACCGATCCCTGCTACAATCATAATATAGCTGCTGCAGCGTTCGCTCTACCACGTATGATACAGTATAGAATGGGTGCGTTTGGCAGAAAAAAGCGCTAGCAAGCGCTTGTAAGCAAAATGGCGATCGTAAGCGGTAAGCGCTGTCAAATCGTAAGTAGCTATTTTCCTCCAGGACACGATGTTAGTTTTAACCGTGGAATCTAACCTAATTTAAATATATGTTTGTAAAGTATTCATATTAAAAACTTACCAATCATGAGTTTTTAATAGCATGTATATGTTTATTCATGTCATTATATTACTTAAAACTAATATTGCACAAAACAACTTATAAACTCTACTTCAAAACAAACAAATTAAATAAGCAAAATGGCGGACTGTGTCAGCGCTACTGAAGTAGCAATCGTGTCCTGGCCGAAAACTATTTTAGCGCTTATAAGCGCTTGCTAGCGCTTTTTTCTGCCAAACGCACCCAATCTCTTGCTTACGCAAATACTAACATATTTTTGAATTTTGTATAATGATAAAAACCTAATACTATGAAAGAAGTTTTTTTTACAAATATACTTACAACAAAAATTCTCATCACTGCCATCATCACAGTCGAAGTTTCCATCACAATACTTGGCCTGCGAGACACAACCACCGCCAAGGCAGTGGAACACTTCATCATACAGACATTCGGGGTCGTAGGACTGCATTTCATCCGTAAACTGACATGTGCACGACGTGAGATATAACGCCAACACAAGGAATATCGTCGCCATTCTGTTTAGAGAACGACGACTATAATGCACCTTACTTTCATCTACCCACTGTTTGAATACCGAACAACAGAAATATTTATGAAAGAGCACAATATTTGTACAAAAACACAAATAATTACTATTCGCTTCTGGAAATATTTTGCGTTTCCGTATGTCCCACACGGCACTCAAATCATCATCTGACCAATAAATATATGGCCAAATACTCAAACACTACACTACTACACACACTACTCAATTTTAAGATGTCATAAATTCTCATGGTGTCACAGAGGGATAGCACGTTATTTTTTTTACACTATTTTTTATTTAAACTGTGCCACGGGACGGTATGGGCCACTGAACAATATCACTCTCTACCGAGAAGTATGGGGTAGTGGATATCCTTACGATGCAACTACCTCTCGGTAATTGTGTTCTGTGGCCTCCAGTGGCCACTACACATCATGTACACACCTAAGTAGATTTAATTTAAAAAAAACATGTTGACGTTTGACAAACGAAATTTTTACTTCCTACGTAGAAAAACAAAAAAGTTTTCAATTCATTCATTCATCACACATCATTGTACATTATGTTTACAAATGTATAATGTTAATTATTATCACATTCCAAACTGTTCTTTTGGCAGATGTTATTTTTTTTATTGATGTACTACGTTGCCTTATCTCAAAAAGATAACTTTTTTTCATAATTGCCATTGGTCGTATTTCTTAAACGACGACCACATAGTCACTCCTGGTACTTATTACATTATAATTTGCCCATATAGCCACGTACGTAGGCAAGATTTGTAGGGTTTTGTATTCGAATCTCAGCTTGCACCAACATTTCTACAAGAGTATAATTTGTACATTTTGAGGTCTAGAAGCTTTAAAGCGTTTGTTATAAAAGTTAATTGTCTGTGACACGTTCGAAAACTCGTTTTATACTATGACATAAACATGAATCGGATAAATTATATAGTTAAATTGGAACGAGTACCTATAATACCTATAGTACCTATATTATAGATCCGTGTAAGCTATATTTGCGGCACTATTATAGTGGAGCAACGGTTGTAATGAAGCTAATGGCGGTGTCTCGAGGCGACAGGGGGAACAAATCAAGAGCTGCAGCGCCTTACTAAAAACGACTGAAAATAAAAAACAAACGGGTTGCCAACCCGCTTGCCAAGCATGACTACTATGGAAAATATCCCAGCTATAGGGCAGTATGTTGGGGAGGCCTATGTTCAGCAGTGGACTTTAATAGGCTGTAATCCTAACGGTAATGGTAATGTTCCATAACGGTCTGGGATTTGTATATGTCCCATATTTATATGGGACTTATGACGAAAAACAACGTGTGAACTATTTTACTTGTCTATAGTATGTCGTAAGAGGCGACTATGGGGCACTAGTTTGTGATGATGTAGTCGATGGGCTAGCTACCTACCACTTCGTTCACAATTTTTCATCTAAACCCATTTTTGGCTAAACGAGGTCCGAGCTAAATTCTCTTTGGACTCTGCCTACCTCTTCGGAAATTAGAAATATAACTATCATTGTACTATAGTTAACTTGAAGTTAAACAGTCCAACATTTATCGAGACACTAGTAGACAAATAGTAACAACAATTAACAGCACCCAATGTGAGTTATTGGTGAACTCCACATCATATCTTCTAAATATTTTAATTCCTCAGACGTGTGTATGGGGGTCGTCACAATATTATACTTACGATGATTATGAAATTTAGGGGAATCTGAGCTACCGTGATTGTATAATGTAGCTAAATGGTTATTTAGTAAGTATAACTCGGTTGAGCTAAGTTTGAACATCACTGCAATGCAAGAACCCCCCCGTTTTCTCCAACATCAACATCTTACATAAAGTATAGTCAGTGTGGTTTGCATTTTACTATTAATATTAATTACATTCTTCTATTTTTTTAGTTATTGAATAATTTTATTGTTACGTCATCCGCACCAAGTGCAAACTTAGCTCAACAGAGTTGTACAATTGTATAATGGAGACGGTTGTTCAAGAATTTATTCTGCCACATACGTTCTTCAAGACGGTTGTTCGAGAATTTAATCTGCCACGTAACTTGTTTGCATTATCAAATTTCATAAAAGTAATTTTCATTTTGAAAAAAAAAACTATTCTTAGTCTTGAATCGCATGGTATTTAAAATTTTATTCATACCACCACATATATTTAAAAAAATAACTTATGTACTACGTAAAAAATAACTTTAACGGTTTTAGTATTTTTATTAAAATAACTCGCAATTGAAACAAAATACGAGCGAAAATTTAAAAATCATAAAACCCTACAAATAAAACCCGGAAATAAAACATTTATATAGATTACGGTAATCCACTTACCTAATTAAAAAAGATATCTCTTCATCTGGACTTCAAATAAATTGTAATTAAACAATAACTCGTAATAAGTATTTCCGTCGTAAGTGTTAACGTGGCTAAACAGATGAAAAGTGAACGAATGAACTTTAAACGGCTATAATGGAACACGAAATATGAAACTACCCGCAACTTTATTACTTCCTAAGGCTATATTTACATTTTTATGTAAAATATTTTTGATCTTTATTTTATCTGTATAATTTTTAGGATAAAAATTATTCCATATATTATAGGTAGGTATTACCGTTAAATAGCACTATTGGCCATTATTTACATACCTATATAGTAATAAAGTACGTAAGTCACGTAAGTAGGAGAGTTGTAGATCTGATTTGAGTGTTATTCGGAGCACGGAATATTAAAACGAGACTGTTCTCATCAATTTCTCATTCGAAGATAAATCATAGGTTTGGTATTTGCTTAAAAAACTACGCATGCGTTTTTAATGGAATTTTAATCAAGTATTAATGTTGCAATAAATCTTAGTATGACATTAGCGTGGAGGCAATATTTTCATTTCTTCCAAGAAACGTGAAACGAAAAGTATTTACTTACGTGCGACTAAAATAACAGATTTCCTGTATTTCGCTACTTAAGACCGATTTACACTTCGACAAGTACAGTAGCGAGTTAACTTGCGAATCTGGCGAGTTAAGTTTGAACCTCGTTTGAAAGGCAATAAGCGAGTTAAGTAGCAAGTTAACGATTAAGTTGAACGGGATAGCCGGCCGAGCTATTTTTCGGCGAGTTAAGTGCGAAGTGCTGCCCTCCCGCGCGTCTCCCGTCACCCGCAACTAAACTAAACAAGCGAGTTTAGTTCAGTGCATAAATTGACAGGACGCAACGTTTGCGCGCCAAAACGTACAATTGTACTTTTATAATTAAACTCGCCACAAAGTTTGTACGATACCGTTTATTAAATATTTATAAGTTTTATATTGAATTTTAAGCTGCTCTGCGCACTCATGAAAATTCTTAAAACCTTTAACAACAACCATTAATACTTCTCTGACTGGATCATTTAATTTTTGACTTAATCCTAGAACCATCTTAAACGAAAACCAGAAAAATTCTGTAGTCTTGAAACGTCATATTCCAACGAACTCGATGAACTAATGTCCTTAACTAAACTCGCTACGAAGACATTATTTGAACGCTACTGCCCACTTAACCGTTTACTACCAACTGCCCTGTAACTAAACTCGCTACTTTACTTGTCAAAGTGTAAATCGATCTTTATATATTTGAACTTAAATTTAAAATTAGACTATTCTTTGAAAAATGACCGTGTATATAGAAAGATTTTAAAAAATAAAATGTATAATCGCGACCTTATTTCGTCTACGTGTATATTGCGTTTTAAAACTAGTGGGTTATATTTGGCATATTGTACTATCCAAATACATGTTTCGCATATACATAATCATTATTATGTAATAAAGTATATACCTACTTCCTTCCTTCTTTTAGTTTTATACACTTGATTTAAACAAAAATCACAGTTTGGCATTTGGGGATGAATACAGAATTATTTTATAATGCTGCTTACTCTAGAGTCACAAACTAATAAGATGTGCACACTCTAGAACGAGAGCGGCTTCTTAAGAGCCCTTTTACATTTTGGCGTTACGCAAATTTAGGTATTTTATGCACAGAGCGGGCAGGGAACTACGCGAGGGATAGTTTATTTCATATCTCTATTCACTCACTCGCACTATGTACTGTGAATATGGCGACTAAACGATCTTGATTTTCCATGATTTCTATTTTGATATATTTTCATTATTTATGAAACTTGGTTTAATTATTTTAATTGTTACGTAGTAATCGATTGTTTGCAGATGTTGGTTAATAATCGATTATATCAACTGACGGTAGCATAGTGGTATAAATAAATAATTTATTACTTTGCAACCTTCCGCTAACCAATTACAATGATGTGTCTTACCTGGATTGAAGAGCACCTCCCGCCCTCCCTCCCTCAATTGCATGCACTAACTCCGTCACCACTATTCCAGGTAAGACACCATCGACGACAATAAGACACGTGTTTCGCCTCTACACGAGGCATCCTAAGTAATGTAGACTCTACGGCGACTGATCGCTAAGTGAGCGGCGAGCCGAAACAGCTGCTATTTATACACGCCGACACAACCACTCCCCACCAAAGTAGCGAGTGACCGCGCCGTGCGATAACAAACCTGCAACTAATTGTTATGACTAATATTTTTTAAATATTATTATTATTATTATTGTTTTTTATATTGATGTTATTATAGTTATTTATTATTATTAATTTTAAAATTATTATAAAAGATTAGCCTTAAAGATGTTTAACAAAGGTGAATTAGAAACATTTGTTTGTTCATTCAGCAGTGCATTGTTACCATTATTATTTTTTTCCAACTGTTCCAGCACACACAACCGCAGCCCCTTACTACAATTATGTAAGACTTCAAAGGAATGGTCGCTGGCTAGGTTGAGTCCAGTGTTCAAGAGATGTTTAGTAAAATGGGATTTATCAGGATTGCAATTTCTGTACGCGACCAAATGCTCTTTATAGCGCGTCCTGAAATTGCGACCAGTCTG